TTCTCGTTTTTTCACAAATCGGCCGTTTCTTGGAAGCTTCCTGCTGCGGCGCGTTAACCCTCGGGGCGCCGCTGCGCAGGCGGAGGGGAGGGCAGCGCGCCGCGCCATGGCCACGGTGCAGCGTTAACCCGCTGCTGCCCGGCCTGCTGCAGTCCCCGCCATCGGCACTTGCTGAGCTTGACTCGTCCTCGGGAAGTGGGGTACGGCGAACTGGGGGGAGCTCAGGTCGGCCCCCGCCGTGTCCCGGGGCAGAGCTCAGCCCTGCCTTAGGGCCTGGCTCTGCTTCCCCTCCTGCTGCCCCTGGTTTGCCTCCTCACGCAAGGTGCATCCTTGCTGGGGGAACAGGAGGCTGAGGGAGAGGGCTGGGGTGCCACGCTACCCCGGCACCCTCGCTGCACCCTCGCCGCACCAGGGGATTAACGCTGTCGAGCCCAGGGGCTGGTGGGGGCAGAGAGCCAGAGAGCGCAGAGCAGCGGGCAGGGAGGGGCCCTTATCTCGTCTTGGGTGCTGCACAACGTGTACCGCTTCCTTCAGGGCCTGCGGCAGGCGCGAGGGGACATCGCGTACAGAAGGAACAGGTGGTCTGGGAAGGGTGTTTCCAAGCCTTTTCCATAACCAGAGGCCCTGGGAAGGGTGTCTCTGGGTGATGCAGGGGTGTTTGTAGACCTCCTCCAGCTCCCCAGATGCAGCAGGAGCTGGGGAGCGGGCCCTGTGCACCCCGGGGGTGGTGGCAGCCCCTTTCCCTTGGCTGCTGCACCCACAGGCTTGCTGGTGCTCAGCCCAAGGGTTCAGCTCCTGTCCTGCTCCCAGGAGACGCCGGGGACAGCACCGGGGCTGGGCTCAGCCATGCACGGCTCTGCGGTGGCATGTGCCAGCCGCAGGGAGGGGTTTCTGGTGGGGCTGCCCTGTGCCATTGGCTGGGACTGTGTCACCCCACGCTGGGGACAGGAGGAGGCTCTGCCCGCCCGTGGGAGGAAGGCTGATCTGGAGCAAGTGGTTTGGGGCGGGTGGGTTTTGCCGAGTGGTTGCGATGAGCCGGGCCTGCCTGGGTGCTGTTGCCTGACTCCCCTGCACAGAGGCATGCGAGGGCTGTGGGGAATCCCAGGGCCATGGAGAAGGGACAGAGGATGGGGAGAGGTGGCAAACAGGGCTCCATACTCCAAATGCCATCGCTGCATCTGTCGAATGCAGCTGGGGTGTGAGATGCAGCAAGGCCAGATCAGGTACAGAGCTCATCACTGCAGCCCAAACCTTCCCCGGGCAGAGAGGTGCAGGAGGATGGGCAGATGATTTCCCAGCAGCTGGGAGCCCGGTAGCACCCCTAACACCTACTATAGCGAAATGGCCAGTGCAAACACAGCTGGCATCCAATTGCCCTGGGACAGCCCTTCCTGGAGAAGCGGTACCACCCAAGAGCCTGGCAGCGCTGGGGGTGTGCTGCATGCGTGCCCCCCAGCTTGCTGCAATGCGTGTATGTGCAAGGGATGTGTATATACATGGTATGGGGGTGCCTGAACCTGTTTGCACACGCATGCACCCAGCAGGTACTCGCACACTCAGGGCACACGCATGTGCACACTGAGCCCTTGCACCAGTGTCTGCAGGGCTGCCTGCGTGGGCTGCGGTTGGGTCCCAGCCCTGGGACTGACAGGACGGGGAGGGGACAGGCACCCCGTAACGGTTTCGAGACCCCGTGGCCTGTGTTTTGCTGTTTACCCGGCGTTTCCAGGGAGCCAACCGTCCTCAGCTCCCTGGTTCTGCTGTGACTCACACTGGGCTGGGGCTGAGTCACCCTCGCTACGGCAGAAACCTAAAGCAGTGCTGCTGGCAACGCAGGCTGTGGCCATCTACCAGCTACCTGGGGCACTGCCGGACCCCTTCACTGGGCTGGGGATGGCTCCAGCTGGCTGAGAAGTCATGTCCAGGGTGTAAAACCACAGGGGAGGATACTGCACCTAGCTGCAAACATCCTGCCAGCCTGGGGCTCTGCTCACACACCTCCTGGCTTTCCTGGTACCCACCAGCCTTTAACTCCCACCCCGATGTCACAGCCAGCCAGCATCCCCAGAGATGGAGGGGTTGAATCCAAGGCTGTCTGTACCCTAGGAAAGGGTTGGGGCACCTTCAGCCCCCATCCAGCACTGTCCAATCCAGCTGACCCATCCTCTGACCCTCATGCTGCGTTTCGAGATAGTTTGAGGAGGGAAAAAAAAAAAAAAAAAAAAAAAAAAAAAAAACAAAAATTTCTTATAAGGCTCTCCTCCCTGCTTGCCTCCCAGCCTGCCCTGCTCACAGGCACGACACAGACCTGCAGGCTCAGGGCACCCTTCCCCACCGCACACCCAGCCCCCGGGAAGGGGGCGCCTGCTCACATCTCCAAAATCCCATCTTGGCTCACCCAGGGTGGTTTAGGGGGAACCGACCCCCCACCCAAAGGTGCTGACCTGCCAGGTTTTCCCAGTGGGGAGCAGCAGCAGCCCAGCCCCCAGCAGGTTTGCAGCAGTGTCCTCACCAGTCCCATCCCAGCAAGCCTCAGCCCCTTTCCCAGTGACCCAGGCTGACCACCTGCCCCCCACCCCCCCAGCCACAGACACACAGCTTGGGTCACACGTTTATATAAAAAGTAGAGTTTATTGCCATTTCTACCTAGATTTACACAACTGTATCAATCACCGCTTCCGACGTCAAAAGGGACGTCCTGTCACTTCCCAGAGAGCTGGCCGGGGAAGGTGGGGAGCCCAGGAGCACGGGCCAGCTCCCCCCAACCCAGCGGGCTGGAGCACAGCCCCTGTCATGGCTCTGCCCAGCGGTCAGTCCGGATCCTCCTAGTGCTGCCACACAGCTCTGTCACGGTGGATGCCAGAGAGGGGTGAATCTGTCCCCTCCTTCGGGCTGCTTGCAGTACTGGCCGCCCAGTTACAGCCGCTCGCCATTCCAGTCTTGCCTCGAATCCCCCAGCTGTACAGCAGTGGGCACGGCTGGCCCAGAGCAGGGCACCCCACAGCCTTGCGGGCACCGCTCACACGTGTGTTTATACATAGATACAGCTACAGAAGCTGCCCAAACTAATAAAACAAGCTTTTTTTTTCCTTGTAATCCCCACACTGATGTGCGTACAGCCATGCACTACGCCGCAACTGCCACCACCGGTGCTGCTCAGTCAGGTCTGGGTTCCAGCATGCTCCTGGGTGGCGAGTGGAACAAATCTGCATTGCTCACTAAACAACAGTCTTCCTCCAACGTCAGGCTTTGCCAGAAAGAGACCCCCTCCCACACAGGGCAGCAAAGGCACGGGACTCGGCATGCGCTCCTTCCAACCGTGGATTCCCGTTGAAGTGCCAAAGGCCGCCTGGCACTGCCAGGGTCTTGCGGACACGCAGGATTCAGCAGAGCCTGGGACGGGCAGGCTGCAGATGTACTCCTGGCACACGGCGGTTGGATGGGGAGGGGTCAGCTGCCTGCGTCTCCCTCGCAGAAGAGCATCCTCGTGCAGGAGACAGCCCCTGGCTCTGCTGGCTGGCCGGGGTTGCCCGGGGCGGGCACGGCTCAGCGCCGGGCTCTGGCAGTCCTTCGTGTGAGATGAAGGCGGAAACGATTTTGCAGGAGATTAAGTAGAAAGAGTTCTGTGGCTCTGCCCACCCCGAGGACAGAGCCACCTTACACCGCAGAGCCCCCCGAGTGCTGGGCCGGGGCAGCCGCCCCGGGGCTCTGCTCCTCCGGGCACAGGACCTCCGTGGGGAGCCGGGACTGGAACTTCTCCAGCTGCTCAGGGCTGGCGAGGGTCTTCAGGAGGCTGTTTTCACGCTCCAGCTGGGAGTTTTTCTCCAGCAGTTCTTTGATTTGCTCTTTCAAGACCTCCACCTCCTCCCGCACTGCATACATCAGGTGATTTTTCACAAGATCCTGCAAAAGACCGTGGAAGAGACCGATCACTTGATGGTTATGCCCTGGGGCTCGCTCCCACCCTGCCCCTCAAAGCGCTGCCCCCAGCCACTCTCCAAGTACCACAAAGGCTTTTTCCAAAGGCTGTCCCCCCCATCCCACCCTTGCCCGGGCTTGGTGCTCACCCTGTGTAGCCCCCCCCAGGCCAGCACCCATAGCATCCTGTGGGTCCCCCATCTCCCAGGTCTGGGTGCCTCCAGAGGCACTCCCCAGCTCCCCCCCACCCCCTTGGGGGTCTGGCAAGCTGCAGTCCCCTGTCACCCCAGGGACCTGGCTCGGTCACCCCCCATCCCCGGAGGGTCCTCCCCAGGTCCCCCCCTCGGCGGTCTCCCTGCGCACTGCGGCGCTGCCGGAGCCAATGAGCTCAGCCAGCTGCGGCAGGCAGACAAAGGAGCTGCTCTGCCCGGCAACGGGCTGGGGAGCAGAGACCCCCGCTCCGGGCAGAGCACCCACCCGGGGAGTGGGGACCCCCCCAGGCAAGGGCACCCGGGGGGGGTCACGGAGCAAGGTGCGCGGGGAGCAGCACCGCGGCTCACCATTGCCTGCTCGATCTTGTTGTCGATGGCCACCACGCTGGCGCCGGAGGCACTGGAAGAGAGCAGAGAGGCAGAGCGTTAGCAGCGAGCCCCCGAGCACCCCCCTTCCCCGGGGATCCGTGCACCGGGACCCCTCCCCACCCCAGGCCGCCGTGCACCGGGGCTTCCCGCTTCACCGCGGATCACCGCACAGGTCCGTGCCCCCCGCCCGGAGCAACAACGCACACGGCCACCCCTTCAGCA